ATTCTCAACAGGAGGGAGCGATCAATAGGTGCAGCGGAGATCTTCAAGGTCTGTAGACGCGGTAACAGCCAACCGTTCGGTGACGATGATTGAGGTGTGGTGAGATCAAGGATGAGGCCCTGGGGCCGGTCGCTCTTCAACTCGAGGCTGATAACGGAGGGCAGTGCTGAGAGAAGGGGAGCAATCCGACGAATTGGCCATGTTTTATCGTGATCTATCGTAAGATGCACGGGAGGTAGAGTGTGCCCCAGGATGCCCATGAGGACGCTGTACGTGGGTTCGCTCCCGGGCCAGCTAATGGTTGATTGGAAAGGCCACAGATCACTGTCTGCACGCGTAGTTCGCCACCTGAACTTGGCATACGCTGGCGTGATATTGAGTTGGATTACTGTCGCTGATACCAACAGAGATGATAATATTTTATCTCCGCCGGCGTAGAACTCCTCGGATGCATCTTTCACGAAATAAAAGTCGAATCGCTTGCAAAGGGGGATGACCATACACTCGAGCAGGCGACCTGTTTTCCAGACCGGAAGATCGAGATCGAGTGACTGAAGTCTTGAAAGCTTAATGGTGACGGGCGAGTAGAGAGCTCCGTGCGGTGATTCATAGCACCGCAGCCGGAGAGATGTTAGGCCAGGGGATGCGTGGAGTATTGCCATCACTTGCTCGGTCGATGGTCCATCATCCAACCTGTCGACCGTAAGATTTAGAGTCTCGAGGTGGGAGAAGATATCCGAGTCTCAATTGACGAGGATGTTTGAAAGTTTGAGATGTCGGAGCCTTGGCGTATGTTGACCGAAGAGGTTATCAAGGAGCAGGGGACCCCACTTGATTGGATAGTATACAAGATCGACTTCCTCGATGCGCTCGAAACCTCGATGATTGAGATATCTGAGTAGATCAGCTGAGTCAGTTTTGTACTTGACATATCTCCAGCGGGATCGCTCTTTGAGGACGATCTCCGAGTATGGCCTGACGTCATGGGAAACGAATGTGTTGTATACGACGTCGATGAGGGCATTCTTTGATCTCTTTAGAGCCAATTCAACTTGAGTGGTTGTAAAGCCTGAGTGGGTATATCCCCAGAGGATTGGAGAGTGCTTCACTAGATCGTACCAGAGTGTCGAGACCTGAGAGAGTTCCCATAGGCGAGTATAGTAATATGTGTTCAGAACGGAAAGGGAGAGATGGACAATCTTCAACAGGAGTTCGTTGGGGAGCTGGGCGATCGGTTCTCGTGAGGTACGCAGTTCTAATCCGGAATTAGACCTTTTTAACAATACGAGTATAAGGGGCCGAAGTGAGTCTTTGCAACCTCTGGCGGGTTGGAGCTGAAAACAATCATCTCACAGCGATTGACATGCTTCCAGTCCAAAAATTCCTTGAGTGAGTGGGCCGTCCACAAGACTGTTGACCATGGACTGGAGTGATTGGCCTCGCGACATTGGGTTTAGGCATGGGTTAGCTATCATTGTGGTCTCAAAACCGTCGTCAAACGGAAACTCACAATTGTACAAGTGCTTTGGGTGGTGTGGGAAGAGGTCGAGTCCCCGCGAGCACCCTCCCGGGTTTCTTACCGCCCTGAGCTTCCTGATATTGATATTCTGCTTCGCGATGGATGAGTCAGGACAAGGCTGCGGCAAGGTAGAATTACATCTCTTCATGTATAGAAATCAAACGCTCCACGAATTCAGATGGGGAAGATGAACACTTTCCAGACCACCCAAGTCGAGGATTGCTATCGTTAAGCGATTCGTCGTGCCCTGACACTTCCCGCTGGAAAACGCAGCGTTAGGATGCGTCCCCAACAAAACCCCGCTGTGTCGCTCAGAGCAGGAAGACAGCCAAATCCACAAGATCCGACCTACAGCTTCTTGGCAAAATCTATGCGATGCATACGGCTTGGAATCCTCGAGGAAGGAACAAGTAGAGCAGCACTGAGCAAGGGGACAGTGACCAATGCATTCGGCATCTAGACGGAGATATCATAAAGAACCACCCAAAAGAAACTAGACAATCTGGATAAAGCGGGCGAGTTTTGACGTACTTAGTATACAGTAACGGCCTTCGTCTGCCAATCAGGACCGAATTCGCTTTCTCAAATCGCTGCCATCTCCTTCCCCATCTCGTCACTAATGTCCTTCCAGTTGGTTTCACCGCCCCTCAGTGCATCGATGGTGGTAATCTCGAATCGATCACCGGCCCAAATCCCGCGATGGATATCACCCTCGTATGCCATGGACACCGAGGAGTCTGACGACCAGCAGATGCGGGACAAGAGAAACGCCCCAAATCCAGCACACCCGTGCGCTTCGACGGCCTGCTGCCGAACGTACTCCCGCTTTGACAAGTTGCAGAGCACTGCAGCCTCAAGGGGCTCATCCGCCACGCTCATAACTACTCTGTATTGTCGCCTTTCAACTTGTGATAGACGGGAAGTGAACGCGATGTCGCCTTGAAGAAGGTAGTACAGCCTGTCCTAGCTGACCCTACCGAAGTGTTCATATGCGTACCCATCAAGGTTGATATCTTTGGCCTCGAGATTGGCCTATTCTTCAGGAGTGAGCACGCCCGGTGGCATGTCTTCGTTCGTGGAGTAGTCGCCGATACATATGAGACGGTGACCAGCCCAGTGAACAATGGGAGCTATAAGGAGCTGGTCGATTCGTTCGAGACCGCATTCGAGCAGATGATAGCAAGTTAGGCTAAGGGATATCGCGTCCTGAGGGTTGTCGATGAATCCGAACAGTGTCCTGATGACCTCAACGGGTTGGTAGGTGAGGTGACACTTTCCTTCAGGGACCCAGGGCTCGGAAGCCTGAGGAGTGTCCCACCCGGACGCACCGGTCGAGCGAGCGGCCCTTTTGGATGAGGTTTGTCAGCATTGGCTCTATGCTCTGTGATCCTATGGGCTTACTTTACGATCTTTTCAAACGAGATCTTGTTAGGTATGCGGAGATCGGACACGAGGACTTCAGGCGTAGAATCGAAAAGGAACTCCCCCAGCTTCCCCCAACCTCCATAAGTCTTCTGGGCGTCGAGATTCAATCTACCAAGGAGGAAAGAGTCAATCTTGTGTTGTTAAGCTAAGCGAGAGGATAAAATGCTCTCGTAACTCACACTCGCCAGTCCTGACCCATACGTTGATTAGTGGTCGGGCAACTAGCTGGAGCGAGATTTGGGGATTGCTGGATAGCAAAGTGCACTGGAAAGAAAGGCCAGCAAGCTGATGATAAAGCAGACGGAAGTTTTCGGTTCGGGAGCGATGAAACCTGCTCGTGACCATAAAGATAGAGACGGAACCTACGGGGATAAGAAGTTAAACAGACAGAAGGGGGGGGGGGGGGGGGGCTTAGCCCACCCCGTTACAGTGAGAGGGCGCAAGAACTCTAAACCGGGATAGCCGTTACTTGCCGCCAAAAATACATGCTAGCTAATTGTAGCTAGACTCTTCCCGGCGATGTTGTAGGATCGTGCCGGCGAAATAAAAATCACTATATAACTACTACTTACGGGCACTCTTCCGTTGCTTATCAAGACCCACACGTCTAACTAAGTTCAGGCTTATTTCAACCACGTATAGACAGCTTCCTCGATCACCCCCGCTGGTAAGTTTCATGGGCAGGCGGTATGGATCCAGTAAAATTGAAATGGCCCAATTTACTCGCCGAGACGAGACAACCACAGCATTGTAACGCAACACAAGCTTCACGAATTGCTGCGCTTATCCGCGAGCAATGGGTGGACGAGACATGAGCCCATTGTCCGAGGTATCCCAGGCATACTAGTCCAACACAATCTAGCTCGAACATGAGTGGCATTTGCTGTCTTCCCTGAAATTCAAATCAAATCAAGAATCTTGTAGGGCTCTCCAGTTGTGATACTGCCTACATCAATCTTCTTCTAGCTAGAAGATGAGCTCCTTGGGTCAGTGCTTGCTTTGGGAATGGCGATCGACCAGTGTATATAAAGGCAGCTAAGTTCATCACGACTAGAAAAAGTTTCTCTTGCCTTCGTGAGCGTCGGAGCCCGCTCAATCTCACCCCAAGTTTCGTCCCAATTCAGATCTGAAACAAGGTGATAACTCGAGGCCGGGCGACTTTTCAGCCGTATCTCATGTGGGTCATTCTAACCAATCACCTGTTTATCAAGGATAGACCCACTTCGTTTCTTCCGCGTAGCAGAGTGAAGGTGCCCGCAAAACTCGCATTACCGAATGAGGATTGCATCTGCCCAGCGATTATAAGGTCAAAAGAGTCGTGCATCATAACCAGACCATCTCTCTAATCAAACCATGCATCCAAATGCATCCATTACGGATCAAAATTAAATCTTTAAATATCTCTCCTTATGGCATCTAACTCAACCCGTTATTTCAGCCACTTCCATCAAATGGAAGTCATCTACAGCTCGATACTGCAATCAACTAGCAAAGGAAAGCGGGAGGATGATATATCCCGTCGATATCTTGTGCAGCGCACGAGGGCCGTCTACCGAGGTTCATTCGTGATAGTCTGAGGACCTCCCATGAGCTGGCATCCTGCCAAAGATCGCGTTTGTTGTTCTAACCGGTGGCTTGACGGTTCATAGCAAGGTGTCATGCAGCCATAGTCTTGCGAGACGTTGTAAAAACCTTTTGAAGTGGAAGGGGGTATCAAGCGGTATGTTGAATTCAACCTACAAGTCGCAGGTATGTCCTACCACGTTACCGATTTGTAGTCCACCGAGCGAGATTGCTCATAGTTGATACATGATGTCGATAATCGGGTTTCCCGACCAACGATGAGAACTGTATTGGTGTAAATCACAACATCGTCTAGCCGTTTAGAGGGCTTTGTGGAATCAGTTGTTACACCGACGCCAATGCCCCGGTCTCATTCGACATCCCTTCACTTGCACCGACAGGCTATGCATATTTGCATTGTGAGCTGCATACCTTACGTGATATTTATAGACGGGCATAAGGGTTTGAAGGTGCAAAAAATGAGGTTTCCTTTAGCCTAACGTGGGGGTCGAACCCACAGCCTTCAGATAGGACTAGTTTAAGAGTCTGACGCTCTACCGATTGAGCTAGCCAGGCGAGCTGAAAACTTGGAAAAAGATTCAATATTCTAAAAGATTATATGATACCTCTACCGATCCTGGTATTCCTCGTATCATCGGTCAGCCACATGGCGTATTCCTGAAGCACGACGATACTGGCGACTTGTGGTAAAGATAACGTGACTCCGATAATCATCGTAAACAATAGGACTTGATCCCCACACATTGAACTTTAAAGTGGAGGTCGCGCCTGACCAGCATCCTAATGCCGTGAATATACAGCAATACATGTTAAGCGAGATTGTAAGCATATGAGACAACGATGAAACCACCAGATGAATATGTTCAAACGTCGTTCCGCACCTTCTTCTGTACTCGGAAAGATAAATGTATTTCAAAAACATCGGCATGAAAGTTTTCTCCTACTTTTGTTACTTGTCCTGTCTTCTTTGACACGCCTTGCACCCCAAGGAACGAGGGCACTTGACTCATGGTGCCCACGTCCTGATCTGCATCCGCCGCACTTTTACGAAGTGTCAGGTCCTCGATGGCAGCAACATCTTTGCCGAATGGGGGATACACTCGTGCGAGAACGTCACGATTTCCTTCTCGGTAAGCTTGAAGGTGCTTTTTGGCTTAGACAGGAAACCGACACGAAAGACACATTGGTAGGACACGCCAACCCGCTTGCATATTACGTACGGATGAATGGGATGTTAGTATACACGAAAGATCACCAATTTGACGATACGCGTGCTGCTCACCAATGTCCCGATGGGAAACCTATTCTCGACCCAGGGCTTGGACAAATATGTCTTCCTTTTATATTTCGCCTCTACATCTTCAGAGCTCCTTCTGGAGTAGCGCTTTTGTCCCCTCCGCTGAGGGTACTATATTAGGTGTACTGGGCTTACGCGTTTTCGGAATCGGCTCCTCGTACGCACGGCCCTTATTTATCCGGTAGGTAGGCGTCGTGCTCCTTAATCTTGGGTGAATCAGGTGGATCGTTTGAAGTACTAGATCTTTGACGGCGATTTAAGAGAACTGCTTCATTGGTCCTTTGGACTTGGAGAAGTAACGGTAGGGAAGCGTCATTAGCTCCATCTCGGCAAGCTTGAACGCCCACTTGGCTGTTACAGTCGAGAACCGTTAGTGCGACTCGAAAGACACGTTTTAGCGGACGCACCATGTGTCTTCCAAATGAACTGTGGAGTACATGCGTATCAGCCTAACATCAACAAAGCTATATGCTTGCCTCTCACCACTGTCCCGGTTGAGAACGCAAAAGCGCGATTCTTGACTCAAGGCAAGGGCAGCAATGCCTCCCAATCCTCTCTGGCCTCTTTCTTCTACTTTTGCACAGCTTTCTGGCACTTCTTTTCCTCAGCGGACAGGATCAGCTTGGGTGAGCGGGATTTTCGAGCCTTCGGAACGGGCTCTTCGGACGATATCGTTCGTGCGGGAGGCATGATACTTTTGACTTTTTGACTGGATTGGATGGATGGATTAGAGGAGATCGAAGTGGATGGAAAGACTTGGGGAATGGAGAAAAAACTTGGGCTGAAATGCGCATCGCGCGTTTCCATCCCGCGCCAGGTCCCTGCCAGACGTCACATGAATCATGATTTCAGTAGGGAAATGCACACCCTCAAGGAGTGGAGCCAACACATATAAAGCCACGCTTCGTTTGAGAACCAAAAGCGAGGGCAGAATGGAATCCCTGCGACTGCATCCAGAAACGATTCCCTGGGCGCTATTGGTCCAGTATGTAAGCATTTATCCAAGGGGTTTGTAAATTACCTATCCGATCGGCTGGTAATGTGCCGTAGCTAGCTTGATAATCTTGATCGGCTTGGGCAAGGCTTTCCATATAAATGCCGGCTTTAAACCTTTCTTCTAATCTTCCCCTGTGAGTATCAGTGAATTGTTTAGGCCGCGAGAAAGTGTTCTAACAGGATGGCTTCGAAGGTCGTCCGAGAAAGGCGTGCATGCACCCAGTTTCACACTGTAACCACTATTTGAGAACCTGTGAGACGGATGAGAGCTACAGCATACTCATGGAAACGAATATCCTAGATCATTAACGCACCCCGTTCAGTTGACCAGTATGCAATTTCTAAGGTACGAATTCACGGAAGCGATACGATGGTGATTTCTTTCGAAGCTCGACTGTGCCTCGATGGATGGATGTTTGACGAAACAAATGGGGTTTGAGATGCAATGCATCGGACTCTCACGGTGGCCTTCGCGTTGAGTAGATTCTTCCTGTGCCGATTTCCTCCTGATTTCCCCCATCCTGACAACACAACCGAGGGAGTAAACTGGTGGATCAATACCACGAAACTCACTGGAAGTACAATGAACCTTTTCAAATCTAAACGCGGCGCTTCTCTGTCATTCCGGGGGCGTAACCTTTCGGGCAAGCGAAGTTGTCTCAGGAGTAGAAGGTGCAAAAGGCGGCCCCCCCATCCCGCAGGACCATTTTGATTATAGTCGAGCTATCCGGAGTTCACTTGGCTACCAGGTATTGTGTCATCGGTTGCTAGATCAACAAAGGTTGAAATGATTCAGTAAGAGAAGCAAGGCTTGATAATCGTAGGATGCTGTGCCATCAACAATATCTCCGAATCCATTGCTACCAAGCCGCTGATATCCCTTGGTCTCAATCCACTGTACGGATACCAACGGGGGAACCGCTGAACAGATATGCCATCTGCCAATGATTCGGTACCAATACGGACGGGAATTTCTTTTGGTTGCCGCTCTTTTTGAGGTAAAACCCCGGCCAGCTCGACGCTTACTGCGGCCGCGCCCCATTCAGGGCGCATCCAAGCTCCTCCGAGTGGCATGACAGCTCCTCCGAGTGGTATGGCAGCTCCTCCTTTTGGCACGATAACCGACGTTGGGAGAATTGCAGGGTACGGCGAAGGATTGGTGCTGACACAAATCCCCTTCACATTGCCACAAGGGCCAAAAATAGCACCGAGACCAAGCTTTCAGGCCTTTGAAATGGTCCGAATATTTGACGCTAGGTGAGCATCAGTGTTGACCCATTCAGCAAGGAAGGGGACATATAAAGGCAAGTGACATCTCTACTGCGACGATAACCAACAAACCACAACTAGCATCATGGTTTCTTTCAGCTCTCTCCTCATTGCATCCGCAGCCGTCACAGGAATCTCAGCCATCCCCGGCAAACCCAGTACGCTTACCCGTCGCTCTGGAACCGCAAGCAGCACCGGAACCGACGGTGGCTACTACTATGCCTACTGGACGGATGGCAGTGCCGCCGCCACTTACACCAACAAGGGTGGAGGTGAATACAGTCTAGTATGGAGCGGCAACACTGGTAACATTGTGGGTGGAAAGGGCTGGATGCCTGGGGCGGCTAGGTAAGATCTGGTTCAAACCATAATATGGTTGTTGCAATTCAACTAAAAGTATTTGTGTTTTCAGGGTGATCATATTCAGCGGTTCTTTCACCACCACCGGCGACGGTTTACTGTCCGTCTACGGCTGGACCACTAGTCCTCTCGTCGAGTACTACATTATAGAGAACTACGGCACGTACAACCCTTCCACTGGTGCCACCTACAAGGGCAGCGTGACTTCCGATGGATCGACCTACAATATCTACCTGAACGTACGCACGAACGAGCCCTCTATCGTGGGCACTGCGACCTTCAACCAGTACTTGTCCATTCGCTCCTCCAAGCGCTCCAGTGGGACGGTCACCACCGCAAACCACTTCAACGCGTGGGCCTCCCTTGGCCTGACATTGGGTACACACAATGAGCAGATCGTTGCCACAGAGGGATATGACAGCAGCGGCTCCTCTGACATCACTGTCAGTTCTGGGACCACTACCGGTACCACTACTACCACCGCCCCCTCAAGCGGAGGCTCTGTGAGTTACTACTCTCAGGCGCTGCTATTTTAGATTGACGAACTGACCCCTGTCTGGTTACAGTGCTCTGCTCTTTACGGCCAATGTGGCGGAATAGGATGGTCCGGTGCTACCTGCTGCTCCTCGGGTACCTGCCAGGCCGCAAACTCGTACTACTCCCAGTGCTTGTAAGGTCTACGCCCTACATGCTATCTGCAATGGTCGCGTTTGGGAGGCTTGTTGGGATGGAGATGTGAACATCATCATTCTTGATATTACTTCCTTGGATGTACCCGTACTACGCACGTTTATACGAATTGTTCGATTTACCGATATTTCAGTTTTCTCAAGGTGAATTGTGTTTCTGATCGCTGGGGTTTTTATGCCAATCGCCCTGCTAGCATAAGATTAGAATTGTGTAAGGGTTTTTCTCGTCTTCTAAGGTAGGGGGAAGGTAGACTGGAAGGTATTATCATATTTCTCGACCCTCTCTGGACGCTGTTTCTTTCTTTCTGTGGGACAGAGTCGCAGAATCAAGAGCTTACAAGGTTTAGAAATGAAAAGAACTCCATCATGACACCGCACGGCCATTCCAAGGAGTAAAGCCATTTATTTCCAACCCCGCTGTAAAGGCATGCCACTGGCCAACTCTCTGTGGCTCGCGTCGACCTCGGACGTCGTACGACAAGCGAGAAACAGGCAAGATACATGTCCACGATTCACACTAAACATCAATGTATATTAGATTGTTACTGCGTGTTTGGGTGTATCGAAAGGGATTGCGTGAGGACAGCCTGCGAGCTGACATTTAGAGCGATAGCTGTTAACGAAGTCGATAAACCATGATACAGTGTAGGATGGTCACAAAAGACAGACTGATTAGAGACATAGGTATCAGAAGCGTTGTTTATGTTCACAATTAGATCACCCTGCACCTTTATTATCACAAGAAGCTTCTTCCGCCCAAAATCCTTCGCTCTGAGCTAAATCAAAGAGCTTCGGCCACCGCTGGCGAACATGACTAGGTTCGAAGCCGCTCACAGGCAAGCCAGATAAACGCAATTTCAGATTGCTTCCTTTGGCTATATCCCATAGATGGAGAAGACCACTCTTCCCGACGTATGGGAAGAATGTAACCGCTTGTTGATCAG